AATGTTTCTAAGGGGGGAAGGATATTACATCCCGCATTTTGTACGTTAAAGTTTCGCCGTAAGTTAATCGACGTAAATTCGGGAATGAGATTATTTTTGAGGTTATAAGTATTTATGTTATTTGTAACAAGTGATAAGTGAGTACCGTGAAGATTAGAGGGTAAACAAATCAAAGAATAAGTATTCGTTGAAGTTTGTCAATTTGGGATAAATTACGGTCCAAGCTATAATACCCGGTATTTATGGACTAGTGCCATACAAGAGACCACATGACCATGATAGTAAGGTATATAAAGTATGTTAAAAGTGATTAGTATTTTAAGTAATTTGAGATAATTCTTAATTATGTGAATAATTGATTAATTATTAATTTTTAGTGGGAGATTAACAAGGTAATTAGAAATTTGTGGATAAATATTGGGGGGGAGGGGGGGACACTACCCCCATGTGGCAGCAAGTGAAAAATGGATCAAAAACCTAAATGGTGACTCTTTGGCTAGGTGGATAGGTGGCATAATTAGGGGATGTAGGCAAATTATCCTTATCAAGTGTGGCTCACAATCACTATGATAAGAGCAACTTCAACGTGACTTACAATTCTTATGAACCCCTACAATGTGCAATGGATGGATATCTCTACAAAGTGATGGAGGTAGCTTCCAAAAAAAATTCTTATGAACTCCTACAATGTGCAACGTGACTTACAATTCTAAGGGAGTCCGGTATAACCTTTCTCAAAAATATCATACGGATTTTTCTCTACTTCGATCCGCCGTTACGTATTTTTCACAAAAGACATGGGTTAGAGGGATTGTTAAGAGAATCGGCTCAGGTATGTTAAGGCTATTCCTTATTTCCTTTTGGCATGATCCATATGATACAAACGAAACGAGCAAACACACAACTTTCATAAATGTCTCTATTCGTAGAAGACATATTAATCTTATGACATTCCGAGAAATCTTATTAACTTACTTCTTATGCATTTCATTCATTTATACATATACATTTACCCATGACCAGATGGCGTTATATACGCGTATATTATATGTATATGGGATATGGGAAAAGGTTACAACGTTATATATGCGCCACCACCTGATCAGTTGGTATACGTCGATGATTTCGCCCACATAGGCCGAGATGATATAACGGGATGCCCTCAGAGGCTTGATGATGTTATGTACACATATATCTATGCATGATACGACATTTATACCCACATGCATGACTTTATAAATATTTCAGGATTCACAAAGTTATTTAGACTTACGGTCGGATTCCTTTACTCCATGTTTTATTTATGTCTTTTATGTACTGATTTTCATGCCTTACACACTCGATACATTATTTGTACTGACGTCCCTATTTCCCAAGGCCTTCGTTTCATGCCCGCAGGTAGACAGGCTGACGGTCTCTCTTTTTAGGATCCTTGATCATCGAGAGTTGGTGTGCTCCACTTGATCCATAGTTGTTATTAGTTTTGGTATGTTATTTTTGTATGTAGATATGGGTAAGACGGGGCCCAGTCTCGTCCTTCATACAATTGTACACTCTATTAGAGGTCTGTAGATAGTCATGTATAGTTAAAAAGTATGTGGCCTTGTCGGCTTCTAGTTTTGGATATATAGTTGTCTATAGCAGCCTTGTCGGCTCGCCCTACCGTATTCTGCATGTATATATATATATGTATATATGTCTTTTGGACATGTTTTTCTCACGTATGTTATTCACGTGATTCAACAGTTTATTGACAGATGTTATTCATGACCTACCCTTAATTCATGTTTATATCTTAGACGCATGCTTAGGGGTGTTCGACAGGTAGGACTCGGGCACTCGTCATGGCCCATCGGTTTGGGTCGTGAAAGGAGTTATGAAAATTTTCAGAACTGGATTCCGACCCCGATATCAAAAAGTTAACTCCCCGGTCAAACTTCTAAACTTAACTTTCTATTTTAGCCATTTCAAGCCAAATTCAACTATGAACTTTCAAATAATTTTTCGGACACGCTCCTAAGTCCAAAATCACCATACAGAGCTATTGGAATCATCAAAACTCCAATCTGAATTCGAATACTAAAACTCAAACTTAGTCAACTCTTCCAACTCAAAGCTTCAAACATGAAAATTTATTCTTCTGAACAAATTCTGAAACACCTGAAAACGCAACCCGACAATTCACACAAGTCATAATACATCGTATGAAGCTATTCAAGACTTCAAATAGTTGAAAGGAGCGTAAATACTCAAAACGACCGGTCGGGTCGTTACACATACGAATAACCAATTAGGCTAATATTGGTAGTATTTTATGAGTAATTGACTAATATTGGTAATATTTATGAATTAAACAATATTTATAGCATTTATGCTCTAATAAGCCAAACTCGATAGTTTTTTCTTATAAATTTCTAATTGAGATGGAAGTAGTATCCATATGACTTAGTTTAAAAAACCCAAAAGAAATTTATAATTATCATGATTTATAATTGCTAATTGAAAACTAATCATAGTTTCGAAATTAATCAAAACATAACCACTTCTTTATGCGAAAATAAAATCTGAACAAAAATAACCTTAATTAAAATTCAAAAAAATTCCAGCATAATATATTGGAGCTTGAATTGTTTACATATAAAATTTCAGCATAATATGTTGAAATTCATAATGTGTTGGAATTTCAATATAATATGTTGGAAGTTCATACATAAGAATTTCATAATCCAACGTATTATAGAGGTGAGCGTTCGGGCAGTTCGAATTGGATATGAAATGGATTTTTAATTTTCGAATTAAAGAAATGACAATCCAAATCCAATCCAAATAAGCTCAGATTGGATTGAATTTTTAAGTCAGATTTCAGATTAATCGGTTTAGATATTTTGGCTTTTCGATTTTGAGCCCATAAGTTAACTTACTTTTTCTTCTTACAAAAATGAACATCCAAATGAGCTATTCACATTAAATTACCTTAATAGTTTTTTATTTTCACCGCAATCATCCAAATAAAATATTCATGCAATGAATGAAACCATTTTCATGGAACTACAATAGAAACATTAATAAGATCGATATGAATTCAAAATAGTAAAACCATGTCTAAATAGAAAGTATTCAGACAATTACTTAGTATTTAGTACCAAATATGTGAGTCAACGTATAACGGGTAAAGTATTCTGAGAATTACTTAGTATTAGTACCAAATATATGAGTTAACGTATAACGAGTATATTGGACTTATTAGTATTTGACTTATGGATAGTTGACTAATGTCTAATGGATAACACCAAATATAAAATATAAATTTTTTAGATTTTCGGATATCCAAAAATTCGAAATATCAAATCTAACATCAAATACAAAAATTTAAAAAATAAATTTGAAATCCAATCCGAAAATCTAAACCAAAACTCCAAAAAGGAAAGGAGGGAATTTCGATTTGAATTTTGGGTTTGTCCGAACTATGTCCACCTCTAGCGTATTATGCTAGATTTTTCTCATGTTCCAGTTAAGGTTATTTTTTTTAAATTTAATTTTCATATTAAATAGTATCTATTTTAATTATTTCGTAAATATTGACTATTTTGGCCAGCCCACGTTATTTTGATCCAAAAGAAAAGGTAGAAATGATACCAAGTAGCCACTCTAAAGGGATGCTATTCATGACAAAAATATCTTAAGTTGTCCTGAAGTTAAGATTTTTAGTTTAAAATTTCAGGATAAAATAAATACTGACTAATCTCTAAATAGCATCCTTAAAAATGACTATACGTGCACTTGCCCCAAAGAAAGAGCTTCTGACATAAGTGGCCACTCGGCCAAAACATATATTAGTTGATGGCCCATAGTTTTACATTACAATTTGTAGCCAAAAAACAAATAACATATGCTAACCAACAAATAGTTTTTCTGCTCATAATACATTGAAGAAATATTCTTCCAAATTCACACTCTCCATTGCAGATACTTTCCAACTTCCGAGAAAGATTTATGTTATATATTGGACATATACTCAATTTAATAAATTTGCTACACAATCTTTATAATTTAACAGGTTATAGTAAATTATGTACGCCTTTTGCTAATAATATTATTCCAAATAACAAAACTAAATTTTTGTAACCAACTATAGTAAAATTAGACTATTACATAAGTACTCTAGCCTCAAAACATCAACTTGTAAGAGAGGGAACTAATTATAATTCTTACACAATTCGAATGCTGAAATAAAATAAAATATTTTAGAATCCTAACGTACTAGTAATAATTAAACTACTACTAAAAACAATAAACTAAACATACTAATAAAGTACGAAAAAGTACTCTAGTAAATCATTAATCTTCTTTCCATACTTTGAAGTCCGGAAATATCTGGATGTCTACTAGTAAAATAATCCTCCGCAGAAGGATTGCAAATAAAAGTGAGGCCAAGTCTCACACAAAGTGCAATTGCAGAGATTTTGACGAATATATCTAACATATGTGGTAAACAATTTGGTGGTTTTATTGCAAGGGAACACATGACACTGATTATTAATTTCTATACAAAATAGTCTATACATGTTGGATATATAAGTTTAAGGTAAAAGAATAATATATACACTTTTATACATCATACAATAATTTATACACGTTGGATAGATAAAAGTACCCGGGATATAAAATATATATAAAATATACTGTCACTATACAAAATATTTACTAAATAGACTGTTAATATATAAAATATATATAAAATAGACTGTCATTATATAAAAAATATATAAAATAGATATTTTGGGCTATTAAATATAATATGTTTGAGTCGAAAGAATATTTTGTATCAATATAAAAAAAATATGGGCTATTAAAATTTTGAGTGACTATTGATTGATCATTTTCTCCCAAAGAAAAGGTCTGCACCTGAAATCTCAGAGAAAGGCCCAAGCAAACATAGGCCCAACAAAGCATATGGCGTGCGTAACACACATAAAGGCGAATCTTAGCCCTTTCTTCTCCCAAATTCAATTCCTATTCTGATTTCCTTCCGTTCCTCTTTAAATTCTCCATCTACTCTCCAATCCGTACAAATTTCTTCTCATCAAAGATTCAAAGCTTTCAACTTTAACACTCAATCTTCATCGTCAATTCCGATCATAGTGCGTAGCTTTAACTTCTGGATCTTTCCAGAATAAAATGATATAGATAATTTCATACGATTCCTTTTCTTTTTTTTAATCTTCAGTTTCTAGGGATATTATTTATTTTTGTATTACACGAGTTTATTTTTTAAAATTTGATAGAGTATTTGTATGTTAAGTGTAGGAATAAGTCTGAAATTTCGAGAACTTAGACTATGAAAGCTTAATTTATTTTAGAAGACAATTACTTTTTTGATAAGGATTTTAGAAGACAAATTATTGAGTATTATTTGTTGTATTTTAGCTGAAATTACTTTTTCTTTTTCTTTTATTTGTTAATTCTCAATTATTTTCTTTCCTCTTGCTGATGATAGGTGAGTTGAAACAGTTGATTACTAGTTGTTGGACTTCGATTTCGCAATTATGGTAAAATTCTGTTTTTGCACTACTATTATTTGGTTATTTATATTTCATTTTTATTGGCTTTTGATGTACACTTCGCGTGGTTTTAATACAGTCCTTTTTTGGATAAAATTTAGTAGGCGGTGTTTTAAGGATGGGAGTGGGAATATTAGTTTAATTTTGAATATCGACGTAGTTGGGATTATGAATGAACTTTAGAATGTGTGAGATTTGGATGTTCTTAAGCTGAAAATTTGACTGATAGATAGCTTTTGGGAGCTCAAAGCTGATGAATGGAACTACTAAGAAAGTGAAGTTTTGTACTTTTGAGTTGTTAAGATTTTGATGTATGCCGTGGTACAGTAGATTTTCTAGAGTCGGTGATTGTAGATTATATTTCACATACAAGTGGTTTATGGAGATAGTATGTATTCACACAATCTCCTTCCAGAATCCACCTGAAGGAAGTAAAAGATAGCAAGTTGCCTATATAATTTATTTTACTACTGTTATGAATCCTGTCGCTTTATTTTAAACCCAAGTTTTTAGGTTTGGCTGTTTCCGTTGTCCATATATAGGCCAAGTTAACTCAAAAGGACTTCTTATATGAGTTGGCTGGCTTGCAATTTGTGCTTCACAGTCACTGTCAGTGTCCGCCAAAACCATTAGAACCTATGTAGCCAGCATATTTGGCAGAGACATACTAAACTGAGAAAGGCATATCTCTCAAAAGGAACTGCTTTAATTGACATTGGTCTCCTGAACTCATCTTATCTCAGCTGATCGATTGATATGCCTAGCTCCAAATTAAGACTCTTCTTAAGCTTAATGGTGGTGTTTTCCATGTTTGATGTTACATAGCCTGTTTGGCAAGCTTCTAAAATCAGCTTATTTTAAAAATTGCTTTTCAAAAAAGTACTTTTGGTGAGAAACAATGTGTTTGGCGAATTAATTTGAAAAGCACTTGTGAGCAACAATTAGTGTTAGACCAAGCTTTTAAAAAGTACTTCTAAGTGTATTTTTCTCAAAAGTGCTTCTAAGTGTACTTTTCTCAAAAGTATTTTTCAAAAGAGTGCTTTTGGGAAGAAGCTACCTTTCTCCGGCTTCTCAAAAACTGCTTTTGCTTCTGCTTCTACTCAAAAGCAATTTTTTCCCTTCTAAAAGCTTGACCAAACGCCTTAACTTTGGGAAACAAGCACTTTTAGCCAAAAAGAAGATTGGCTAAACAGGCTAGTACTCTGTATCTTTTAATTGTTAAAGATCCATCATTGCCTATTTGAAAGTTTTGTTATAGAGTAGCTTTTACTCTTATTATTGTATTTATGCATTAGTTTGTTTGATATTTCAGTTTTTTGACGGGTATGGATATCATGGAACATCATTTGAGCAAACATACCGATGCTACCCTGCGTCATTCATTGATAAGGTTAGAAGGCTTTTAAAAAATGAACTTTCCCCAATTTTATTCTTCTATCGTGTTTTTTGTAAATTTTTCAGAAAGTCTACCATTTGTATCTTTTTTCCCATCATAATCTTTGCTTTAGTATGACAATCATAAAGAGCTTTGAGGTCCTTGGCATTTATTTTTGGTCTTGGGATATTATACTGTACCAAGGAAGAATATAAAACTTTAAAACTTTCTTCCAGCGTGTATGTCAAAAATTTGAAGAGGGAATTGTTCATCAGTTCCAAGTTATGGCTGCATGCTTGCATGCTAAAAGAGGTCTTGTGTAACCTATTTGTATGTATAGGTTGATGGTGATGTGAACCTTATATGCATAGTATGTATGAATTGCACCAACATCTGTAGTATCTCTCAACATTTAGTTTGGGTTATTTATTTATTTATTTATATGAACATTGCTTCAATTCTTATTCTGTTTGTTCTCAACTGTGCAGCCGCAGATAGAGAATGGTGACAAAAGTAAGTATTGTTTGATTAGTTTTAACTCTACCTGTTCATATGTTAGTTGGATTATGATGTCTTATATTGCTCTTTCTTTATGATCTACAGTTATAATGCCTCCTTCTGCCCTTGATCGGCTAGGTCAGTTTCTTTTATTCTGGGTCTTAGCTTCTACTTCATCTCCATGTTTAAAGATTCAGTTTATATCAATCGAAGCTGGTTCATTATTTCATTTCTTAATTTTGTTAAAAAGTGCGCGTAAATTTTGCAGCATCACTTCACATTGATTACCCAATGTTGTTTGAGCTTCGAAATGCTGCTACAGACCGTGTTTCTCACTGTGGGGTTCTGGAGTTTATTGCGGAAGAGGGCATGATATATATGCCTTACTGGGTAGATTATTTGTGTAATCTTCTTATATTTTGGGCTCAGTTCAATTGTCGATGTAAATGTGGATAAACTCATGTTTTGTGATCTTGTAGATGATGGAGAATTTACTACTACAAGAAGGTGACACAGTAAGAGTAAAAAATGTAACTCTTCCCAAGGGTAAATATGTCAAGTTGCAACCACACACGAAGGATTTCTTGGATATTTCCAACCCGAAGGCCATGTGAGTATATTTGCTTTTTCTTGGTTGTGCAACCCTTTCAGTTTTATACTCTTCTTTCAGAGCTCCATGGCTCTGTATAATTTTAGTCTACTCTGTTAAGAGTCTGTACTTCCAGACTAAAGTTACTTTCTTCACCAGTGGAGAGCTGACCTCGTTATCAAAAAGTGATTTGCTCCAGTAAATTAGTATATAAGAATTACGCTAGCTAATTCCACATCTCCTTTGTTTCTGGATTAAGCTTCTTATAAGATGTTTTATTAGGCATAAATCTTGTTCTAGAAGTGTTCACTTTACCAATGGAGTTACTCATCTATCCTTTTGGTAACAAGAAAAAACATTTTGGGCAGAGCTGAAAGTATTGTCTCTATGCCAGCTAATGCGGGTTGGGAATAGGCAGTAGAGATCCAAAATAATGAACTGCTTACGGTTTTAACTTTTGATACGTCACATCTTTTGCGATATTAGCTTTCCTCACAAGTGACAGTGAACGATAATGGTCGCATTAATGGTCAGAAGTTTTCTTTGGTTCGAGTAAAAATCAGAATTGAAATGAATGTTTATGAGGAAAAACATGAGCTTTCTATTCTTTTGGTGTGTTTCACTTATAATGAATTCCTACATGTTGTATTGCCTCATGCACTCTTGCCTCTCAATAGAATGCCACTAGCACGTCCTTTTCTAGTGCATTTATCACGTTTAATGCTCGCAATAGTCAATCACAAAAGTAAATGATTGACAAGTCCAATTTATTTCAATCGACTTATCAAGATAAAAATTTAATTTATTTAATTTCTCTCATTTTGAGTCTAAATGCATTGCCTGTGCTGCAAGCAATATTTGTTTGTTCAATTGCTTATTTTGTTCATGTCTTTTGCAAAATACCCACACACTTATCTAGGCTTCCAAGTTTTACGCCCTTTTTTTTTGTTGCTGATGCAGCTTGGAGACAACACTGAGAAATTTTTCTTGCTTAACCACTGGAGATAGTATTATGGTGGCTTACAACAATAAAAAGTATTACATAGACATAGTTGAGTCGAAGCCCTCTAATGCAATAAGCATCATTGAGACAGACTGCGAGGTAGACTTTGCACCTCCTCTTGATTATAAAGAACCTGAAAGACCAGTTCCATCTCTTCCAAGCAAGACTCCAGCTGAAGGTGCACAATACATTCTGTAGTTATAGTTGTGTTCTTCTCTGTCTTTTGTTTATACAATATAACATCCCAAGCTCTTATTAGCTGAGGATGGGTCGTTTCGGGAATGTTCAATATTCTCCCTCCTTGAACTATTTTTTGATATTGTAGTATCAAGTAATATTACTCTCTGTTGGTTGACCTTTATGTGGTATTCTATCAACATAAAACTCACGGTTCATGCATTTTAGCTATTTATCTTAAATGTAAAGGTAGTTAGTTATAACTAACTACCTTATACAAACCTTTTGAAAAGAAATTGTACAAGCCAAATGGGATTGTCTAAGTTGAGATAAAGGAATATCTTCAATGATTGTAGAGTCCAGTTTTACTAATTTTGAGGTAGTAATATCTCCACTAGGCATGGCTACTGCGAAAGCCAGAGAACTATATACGGCGTCAAGTTTGTTTGATCCAATTATGTTATTCACATTATAAATTTGACTGATCTTTTCCTGAACTGGAAAACCTTTTTGGCTAATTGCCTTGGCGGATGGTACAAGGCTAAGTTAGCTTCTTACCCCTTATAAAGAATTGTAGACTTTTGTTTGTTCCTGGTTATTTCTGTAGAATATTGATATCTCTTAACTTTCTACTAATAACTTTATGGTTTTTGATCATGCAGGTGAAGAGGCTGCAGCAGAGGAGGAGCCGAAATTCAACCCTTTTACTGGTTCAGCAAGACGATTGGATGGGAAACCTCTGAAACAGCAACCTCCACCTGTTTCCACATCTGGGTCTAAAGACAAGCGACCTGATATGGCAAATGCTACTGGACAGTCAGCTGCCGGTTCAAGCTCTCAAAGCTCCAATCGTCAGACACAGGGGAAGCTTGTCTTTGGGTCAAATGCAAACCGGAATCCGGATAAACAAAAGGTTTCTCATCTCCACCTGCATAGATTTCATTATCTCATGTTTATCTGTTCCTGGCCGTTGGCAAAGTACTAACTGCTGATTAAGTATTTGGCTACTTATGTGTTTCAACCTGTTAATATTCCTCTATATCTGCAGGAACCTGTGAAGGAACCCGTGAAGGAGGAACCTCAAAAGAAAGAAGAGCCAAAGTTTCAAGCTTTCACTGGGAAAAAGTACTCCTTGAGGGGTTAACTGTAATATATTCATGTTATTTATCCTCTGTTTTCACATCATATCTGCTCAGTCAAATTACATGGACTATGTGATCAATGTATAATCAATCGACTTAGTTTTTGTTCCAAAGAAACTGATATACAGTTTCCAACTAAACCCCGGATTTCTGGGCTTTTAAACTTTCACATAGTTTGTTTACAAGTGCTTATTATTCAGCCATATCTCAGTTATTCAGCCCAATACTTGATAATGATGTGTTATGATTTGGAAGTCTGACCCCAAGTCCAACTCTAGTAACTTACATTCGCACCGTGAGAAAGATGGATGCATGTAGTTTATCCTTTTATTTTATTTTCCTGGTTAGGGGGCCAGGGGTAGGTGGTTATAAATTTATGAAATTATTTAGTGGTTTTATCAGTAAGCAGTCAAAAGAGATCAAGGTACCGTGTTGCCTGCTGCTTGCAGGCTTGAAAATCTCTTGGTTGGCTTCACTTCGACACATTCTCGTTCTTTCTCCATTATGGGAGCTTAAACTTCTACAGGAATGGTATCCGCTATTCCATTCAATCAATTTAAATTAAGGTGCAGAAACGTGCCCTCATCAAATTGAATGTCTATCCTTACCTCATTTGAAGATAGAAAACGTGTCTTGTACTTTTCAAAAGAACTTCAACTGATATATATAGCTTGAGTTGAAAATTTGAATTCAATTGCACCTAATCTGCAACTTCCAATATGAATTTGCCCTAGAGTTCTTGAAAAGTTAATTGTAAATGACTCAATTTATAATACGCATGGAGGACTTGCGTTGACCGGTATGAAGGTGCACATACTTTTCAAACAGGCTTGATGTTTACAACTTGAATTATGACTTACAAAACAATGAGGAAAAAGTGATACGCCCAGACAAGGAGGAGAACAGTTATTTGTTTCTTCATTTTTCTCCCACGCCATTGAAATGCATTAACTCAATACTCTTTTGGACCCTATGAAGTTGACAACTTCAAGATGTATAGAAAATTGGTTGATGATTGATGGTCTCATGACATGATTGCTTTCAGAGCGTCTTTGATATATCGGTATTTGAATGGAAAACCCAACTCCTTGGCCCTCGTTGGAACCACCTTCTGCCCATCCAACACCTGAAATACACATTACTAGGCATTTGGACAATATTTGGTTGAAGTTAATGGAAAAGAAAAAGTATTTGAAGTTGAATTGAAAAGGGATATCTGGAAGTTGAAGTTAAGTTCTAGCAAGATTAATAGAGGGAAGTATCAGACAAATAGGTAATAAGCTGAGGTTAGAAAACTCCTACCACAGATGCACCCTCTCCAAGGACAGCTTTGAGTGCAATTTCTGGTACTGGTAGCCATGAAGGTCGCCCTAAAACAGATCCCAGTTGTTCACACATTTCTGCCAGCCTAACAGGATTTGGCGCTGTTCCATTAATCACCCCTGCCATCGGCCGACTTACTGTCAGTTAACTACACTTTAATTTCAGTTAGTTGTTAATCTACATCAGCTTACTCTTCGGACAGAAATACAAACGCAGAAAAGGACCTACGGCAAGGAAAAAGGTCATCCTTTTTCAGTCGAACTTAAGTCATTGAGAGCTCTACTGGATGTTGCAAAGTTAATAATCAATGATCATGTTAAGTAACGTATAGGAACTTAGAGTTCCATAAAGGGTATATGACTGAAATAGACATATATTATAGATGTCTGGCAATGATTTTACCTTTATAGGATGGATTGGATAGAGCTTCATATATTAGATCTACAAGGTCGTCCAAATGAATCCATGAAAACCTGCATGGTGAAGGCAGCAGAAATCTACAAAGTGAGAAGGGGGAAAATTTTGGCTGAAATTCAAACGTCTACAGGCATAACAAATAAACATATCTCTGATCCACAATAATGAGAAATACTTGTAATAAAAGCAAAATTAGAAGGCAATACCATTGGTTTCCAGACCCCAAAGGTCCCCCAGCAAACATCATGAAGATTGGGATCATTTTAGCTGCAGAGATCAAGAGAAAGGAAAATATGAAAGATGTGAAACGATGATAAGCATCTGAAGATCATAGACATGCCATCTACTGTCATTGGTGGATCCACGTTTAGCTGAAGGTTGGCATCGCTCTCTCCCGCTTTCCCCTTAAAATTTCAAAAAACCTTGTAGTAAACCCAAAAAACTAATACACCATTTATCAAATTTGCACTGTCCCACCCAGAAGTGAATCCAAGATTTAAAATGGTACGGGTTCGACTTTTAAGGTTTTTGGCGATGAACTTATTATACTTATAAAACTATGGGTTAAATATTAGTTGAAATTTTAGTGGGTCCCACCACCTCAAGTAAAAATTTAAAGGGGAAAGGGGAAAATGTTAAAACACAGTGGCGGATCTAGGATTTAATGTTTATGGGTTCCTACAACAACCTCGAGTAAATTTTCAATAGTAACTGGGTTCACATTCAAATGGTTATAGATATTTAGTGAATTTTCCGAACACATTTACACTGTTTGAACAAAAGTTACTGGGTTCACGTGACCCGTAGGTCGCAAGGTGGATCCGCCCATGTTAAAAGAGGTTCCATACACTAAACATCATAATCTAAAAGAGTTGCCCCCCTAGATATCTAGTACCTTAGGTCTTTTTTTATTAATTTACATAACCGTAAAAGGGATATACAGTCAAACCTCTCTATAACAGTAGTGTTTGTTCCCATATTTATAGGCTTTTATAGTGAATGACTGTTATCACCTATAACAAAATTTGACGTTTAAATATTTCTTGTTGTTATAGACAAAAATTATCAAAAAAATAATCTTTTTTCACTTTTTAAGGTTACATATAATAGTTGAGAAATTATTCAAATCTAAAATCTCAAAAGATATGCATATTTCATAATTAAGTATTAAAGCCATCTAATATATTATTAACCAAATTCATAACTAAATAAACAACGATTTTAACTCTAAGGTACACATTTAAAAGCTACTAGAAAATTAAATTCCTTCAAGAATTATGGAAGAACTCTGAAAAAGATATGTGCAAATCGTCGAATCTTAAGTATTTTGTAAGATTAAAACTTTGTCAAGTGGAAAAGATTGTATGTGTAGATCTTCAAATATTAGACATTGTGCATGAAATTATACAAGTATATTAGAACCTTTTATACAATGGAATGAAATTATACAAGTATATTTTAAATCGAATTAAATAAAATCTTTAATTACTGAAGTATGCACTAACATAATATTTTTTAGTATAAGTGGTGCATTAAAGTTTTAATAAAATTTGATTAAATTAAATCTTTAGGGTTATTATAGGTAATCTTAGAAATTTTACATGGCTGTTGTAGAGGGATAATTTTACAAAGAGCGTACTACTATAAAGATGGATGTTGTTATCGCTAAAAAGTTATTATAGAGAGGTAAAATATATAATAAAAAATCGATTATAAGAAAAACATGACTTTTATAGTGAATGACTGTTATATAAAGATATCGTCTGTCTGTAGTCATGAGTTATATTAGATGCATTGAAATGATGTTTTGTATGACAATAAAGAGCCATTGGATCCCAAAGGCCAACAAGAAATGCAACCAAAGTGAAAGTTCGTGAAAGAAAAGAAACATAGCACCCTTGAAATATTTGACTAAAAATCATAGGTCCACTTCAGCTATGTGAGAAGATTTTTCATAATGACCTTCTCTTAGGAAAAAAAATGTACTACGATTTTCTTGATGTCCCTTCGTTAAAAAATAATTTCCTTTTCAAACCTGAATAGACGTTCCTTCTTTTTGGTGTGTGAAATTTTTTATTAACTTGACCCAGTCTTGTACAATTTTTCAAAATGCAAAATCATTTCCATCTTTTTTGGATTTGAAATATCTAAATTTTATTTTCTTAAAGATGAATCAATAACAAATTTTACTTGGCTATAGATAGTTAAGATCAACTCACTCACAATCTCTAAATTTTTTGTCACCTCATGAATAAATGCATAAATCGACACCAGCTCATGCACACTGTAAGTTGCACCCACCCCACCCCCAAAAAACGAAAAAAAAAAAACCGATTCCTATTTACAAACTGCTAATCTTGAGAGGTTTGCTCAGCTGTAACCTACTTCTATTACAACATAACCTATTGAGTGTTACTTCGGTCTCCAATCCAATCTAGTGTTTGTGACAAATCTGTTACTACTTCAGTTGCTATTATTTATCAAAACAAAATGATGAAAAGGATAAAAAAGAAAGCATACCTAAAGCACCACCATCTTTTCCAAGGACAACACCAATGCGAATTAGAGCAAGCCTGACATCTTTATTGACTTTGAGTGCAGCTCCCTCCCATTCTCTACAAACCTAAAAGAAATCAAGATACCGGAAATTAGATTCTAAATTAAAAATGAGAACTAAGAGATATCACATACTCTATATGTATGCAACTGTTAAAAGCCCATCATATTTACCTCAGCTAAGAAGTCATTTCCTGGCGAACTTTGCTCATCAAACACTCGAGCCTCACTGGTTCCTGAGTAAGGGAATCAGTGGATTTATCATGGAGATGGAATGCACATAATAATTCGCCGTCATTGGAGATTTACCATCAGAGGACAGACACTGAAAGCCTTAAACAGCATGGCGTCCTCCATAAACATATATATTTGAGATGCTATGGGAATGCTAGCATGCTTACAAGTTGTAGTATGGAAGTTCTTTGGGAGCCAATAAAACAACACAACAATATATGAACAGTATAACAAAGTGATATATGAATTTGGTATCCATACCGTAGTAACCAACTGCTGATGCACTTATTAAAACTTTGGGGCGATCATCATCCTGTGAATTATTGATTAAATCCACAACCTACAGGGTCAACAGAGATTTCTCAAATTCCTGTCAATCTCATCTGTTGTTATAGATAAATCCTTAAAATGAATTGACCTCTTTCACTATGCTATTTTGCATGAAGCTAACAGAGAAGAGGAGAGACCTTGGAGGTTACTCTAATCCTGCTTTGCTTGATCTCTTTCTTGATCTGCAGCGATACATTGAAAAATTAACATATGAATATTACATTGCAGAATGAACTACTGATCATTCGTCGGAAGGGGAACATACTGTTATTTAGCTGTATTTGTACAATAATTATGGAGAAGATAAAATAACATAAATGTAAAAGATACAGAATTTAATCCGAGCCCACTGAATTAACAGTGTTTCCTTAAGGAATTTAATTCCCTCCTAGTATCCAAGGTTGTGGATTATTTCCTTCCAGGATAGAACGAATTACACACTGGTGTAGCGATACTTCAAACACCAATGTTTCAGCGAACACAAAGTTCGGTAGCAAATCACACTTACTGATGCTTTGTTTGTAGTTAAAACAATGCAGAAGAAAGGAGGAGAAGTCAGAAATTCGTATTGAAAATCTGAGAGAATGGACTGGTATTTATAGCCAATGTTGAGCTCAAACTGAAGAGGTGCAACTCTTCAAATCCGAAGAGGTGCCAACTGTTTCTTCAAATCTGAAGAGGTGCAAACTGTTCTTCAACTCCTCAGATTTGAAGAGGTGCAAACTGTTTTTCAAATCTGAAGAGGTGCAAACTGTTTTGTAAATGTCTTTTACAAAAAGCGAAGGGCATATA